AGCAAGCCAGCCAACCACCAAGGCCAACCAGCCAGCCAGCCAACCAACCAACCAAGCAAGCAAGCAAGCAACCAAGCCAAGCAAGCAAGCCAGGCAAGCCAAGCAAGCCAAGCCAAGCAAGCAAGCAACCAAGCCAAGCCAAGCCAAGCAAGCCAAGCAAGCCAAGCAAGCCAAGCCAAGCAAGCAAGCCAAGCCAAGCAAGCAAGCCAAGCCAAGCAAGCCAAGCCAAGCAAGCCGGCCAACCACAAAGGCGAACCAGCCAGCCAGCCAACCAACCAACCAAGCAAGCAAGCAAGCAACCAAGCCAAGCAAGCAAGCCAGGCAAGCCAACCAAGCCAAGCCAAGCAAGCAACCAAGCCAAGCCAAGCCAAGCCAAGCAAGCCAAGCAAGCCAAGCAAGCCAAGCCAAGCAAGCAAGCCAAGCCAAGCAAGCAAGCCAACCAACCAACTAACCAAGCAAGCAAGCAAGCAACCAAGCCAAGCCAAGCAAGCAAGGCAAGCCAAGCAAGCCAAGCCAAGCAAGCAAGCAACCAAGCCAAGCCAAGCCAAGCCAAGCCAAGCCAAGCAAGCCAAGCAAGCCAAGCAAGCCAAGCAAGCCAAGCAAGCCAAGCCAAGCAAGCAAGCCAAGCCAAGCAAGCAAGCCAAGCCAAGCAAGCCAAGCCAAGCAAGCCAGCCAACCACCAAGGCCAACCACCAGCCAGCCAACCAGCCAAGCCAAGCAAGCAAGCCAAGCCAAGCAAGCCAAGCCAAGCAAGCAAGCCAAGCCAAGCAAGCAAGCCAAGCCAAGCAAGCCAAGCCAAGCAAGCCAGCCAACCACCAAGGCCAACCAGCCAGGCCAAGCAAGCCAAGCCAAGCAAGCAAGCAACCAAGCCAAGCCAAGCCAAGCAAGCTTGCTTGCTTGGCTGGCTGGCTTGGCTTGGCTTGCTTGGCTTGCTTGGCTTGCTTGGCTTGCTTGGCTTGGCTTGGCTTGGTTGCTTGCTTGCTTGGCTTGGCTTGCTTGGCTTGCCTGGCTTGCTTGCTTGGCTTGGTTGCTTGCTTGCTTGCTTGGTTGGTTGGGTGGTTGGCTGGCTGGTGGTTGGCCTTGGTGGTTGGCTGGCTGGTTGGTTGGTTGGCCTTGGTGGTTGGCTGGCTGGCTTGCTTGGCTTGCTTGGCTTGGCTTGGCTTGGCTTGCTTGGCTTGGCTTGCTTGGCTTGCCTGGCTTCCTTGCTTGGCTTGGTTGCTTGCTTGCTTGCTTGGTTGGTTGGTTGGTTGGTTGGTTGGTTGGCTTTGGTGGTTGGCTGGTTGGTTGGTTGGTTGGCCTTGGTGGTTGGCTGGCTGGCTTGCTTGGCTTGCTTGGCTTGGCTTGGCTTGCTTGGCTTGGCTTGGCTTGCTTGGCTTGCCTGGCTGCTTGCTTGGCTTGCTTGCTTGCTTGGTTTGTTGGTTTGGTTGGCCTTGGTGGTTGGTTGGCTGGCTTGCTTGGCTTGCTTTGGCTGGCCTGCCTGGCTTGCTTGCTTGGCTTGGTTGCTTGCTTGCTTGCTTGGTTGGTTGGTTGGCTGGCTGGTTGGCCTTGGTGGTTGGCTGGCTGGCTTGCTTGGTGCTTGGCTTGCTTGCTTGCTTGGCTTGCCTGGCTTGCTTGCTTGGCTTGGTTGCTTGCTTCCTTGCTTGGTTGGTTGGTTGGCTGCCTGGTTGGCCTTGGTGGTTGGCTGGCTGGTTTGTTAGTTGGCCTTGGTGGTTGGCTGGCTGGCTGGTGTCTTGGCTTGTTTGGCTTGGCATGTCTTGCTTGGCTTGCTTGCTTGGCTTGGTTGCTTGCTTGCTTGCTTGCTTGGTTGGTTGGTTGGTTGGTTGGTTGGTTGGTTGGCTGGCTGGCTGGCTGGCTGGTTGGCCTTGGTGGTTGGCTGGCTGGTTGGTTGGTTGGCCTTGGTGGTTGGCTGGCTGCTTGGCTTGGCTTGCTTGGCTTGCTTGACTTGCCTGGCTTGCTTGCTTGGCTTGGTTGCTGCTTGCTTGCTTGGTTGGTTGGTTGGTTGGTTGGTTGGTTGGCTGGTTGGCCTTGGTGGTTGGCTGGCTGGCTTGCTTGGCTTGGCTTGCTTGGCTTGCTTGCTTGGCTTGGTTGCTTGCTTGCTTGGTTGGTTGGTTGGCTGGCTGGTTGGCCTTGGTGGTTGGCTGGCTGGCTTGCTTGGCTAGGCTTGGCTTCGCTTGCTTGGCTTTGCTTGCTTGGCTTGCCTGGCTTGCTTGCTTGGCTTGGTTGCTTGCTTGCTTGCTTGCTTGGTTGGCTGGCTTGTTGGCCTTGGTGTTTGGCTGGCTGGCTGGCTGGCTGGCTGGCTTGGCTTGGCTTGGCTTGCTTGGCTTGGCTTGCTTGGCTTGCCTGGCTTGCTTGCTTGGCTTGGTCGCTTGCTTGCTTGCTTGGTTGGTTGGCTGGCTGGTTGGCCTTGGTGGTTGGGCCTTGGTGGTTGGCTGGCTGGCTTGCTTGGCTTGCTTGGCTTGGCTTGGCTTGGCTTGCTTGGCTTGGCTTGCTTGGCTTGCCTGGCTTGCTTGCTTGGCTTAGTTGCTTGCTTGCTTGCTTGCTTGGTTGGTTGGTTGGTTGGTTGGCTGGCTGGCTGGCTGGTTCTGTTTGGCCTTGGTGGTTGGCTGGCTGGTTGGTTGGTTTGCCTTGGTGCTTGGCTGGCTGGCTTGCTTCGCTTGCTTGGCTTGGCTTGGCTTGCTTGGCTTGGCTTGCTTGGCTTGGCTTGGTTGCTTAGGTGGTTGGTTGGCTGGCTTGTTGTGCTTGGCTTGCTTGCTTGCTTGGTTGGTTGCTTGCTTGCTTGGTTGGTTGGTTGGTTGGTTGGTTGGTTGGTTGGTTGGTTGGTTGGTTGGTTGGTTGGTTGGTTGGTTGGTTTTTTGGTTGCAGCATGAACTCTTGAGGATGTGGACTGCGCGTTCAACGCAGGCGAAAGATGTTCAACAGAGACAATCTCTGGCGTGTGCTGAAGGAGTTGCGTTTCTTTTTTTTGGCAGATGCTGCAATAGCTTAGACAGCCCCTGGCTGCAACAAGTGACTTTGAGACCCATTTCCATTAATGTTTTGATGTATACAATGGAACATATTTTAACGCCTCCGGCTCAGGCCGCCGACGTTACAGGCTGCTTTCTTAATTGCGTCCCTTTGAAGATTGTCCCCTTGCCCCCCTTTCCCTCTAAGATCTTTGTCCCCCTTTCCCTGTTGAGATCCCTTCCCGCCTTTCCCCCCCAAGGCCTTTTCCCCCGTGAGATCTTCTCCCATTTCCTCCCTAAGATGTTTTCCACCCTTTCCTTGTTGAGATCCTTTCCCCCCTAAGGCCCTTCCCCCTTTAGGTCTTCTCCCTTTTCCTCCCTGAGATCTTTTTCCCCGGTTGAGATCCTTTCCCCCTTTCCTCTTGAGATCTTTTCCTAGGATCTTCTCCCCCTGTCCCTGTTGAGATCCTTTCCCCTCCTTTCCCCCCTAAGGCCTTTACCTTGAAGATCTTCTCCTAAGATCTTCCCCCCCTGTCCCTGTTGAGATGCTTTCAAGGCCTTCTCACGTCTTCTCCCTTTTCCTCCGTAAAATATTTTGAGATCCTTTCCACCATTCCCCCCTAGGGCCTTTCCCCCCGAGAAAAATGTCCATTTTCCTCCTCAAAGATCTTTTCCACCCTTTGCCCCCTAAGGCTGGCTGGTTGCTTGGCTTGCTTGGCTTGGCTTGGTTGCTTGCTTGCTTGCTTGCTTGGTTGGTTGGTTGGTTGGTTGGTTGGTTGGTTTGCTGGCTGGTTGGCCTTGGTGGTTGGCTGGTTGGTTGGTTGGCCTTGGTGGTTGGCTGGCTGCTTGGCTTGGCTTGCTTGGCTTGCTTGGCTTGCTTGACTTGCCTGGCTTGCTTGCTTGGCTTGCTTGCTTGGCTTGGTTGCTGCTTGGTTGCTTGCTTGCTTGGTTGGTTGGTCGGTTGGTTGGTTGGTTGGTTGGCCTTGGTGGTTGGCTGGCTGGCCTTGGTGGCTGGCTGGCTGGCTGGCTATCTCCTTAGTTACTTGGCTTGCTTGGCTTGCTTGGTTTGCCTGGCTTGCTTGCTTGGCTTGGTTGCTTGCTTGCTTGCTTGCTTGCTTGGTTGGTTGGTTGGTTGGTTGGTTGGTTGGTTGGTTGGCTTTGGTGGTTGGCTGGTTGGTTGGTTGGTTGGCCTTGGTGGTTGGCTGGCTGGCTTGCTTGGCTTGCTTGGCTTGGCTTGGCTTGCTTGGCTTGGCTTGGCTTGCTTGGCTTGCCTGGCTGCTTGCTTGGCTTGCTTGCTTGCTTGGTTTGTTGGTTTGGTTGGCCTTGGTGGTTGGCTGGTTGGTTGGTTGGTGGTTGGCCTTGGTGGTTGGCTGGCTGGCTTGCTTGGCTAGCTGCTTGCTTGGCTTGCTTGGCTTGCTGGCCTGGTTGGTTGGTTGGCCTTGGTGGTTGGCTGGCTGGCTTGCTTGGCTTGCTTGGCTTGGCTTGGCTTGCTTGGCTTGCCTGGTTTGGTTGGTTGGCTGGCTGGTTGGCTTTGGTGGTTGGCTGGCTGGTTTGTTAGTTGGCCTTGGTGGTTGGCTGGCCTTTCCCAACCGTGAGTTCTTCTCCCTTTTCCTCCCTAAGATCTTTTCCCACCTTTCCCGCTTAAGATCCTTTCCCACGTTTCCCCCCCAAGGCCTTTTCCCCCAAGGTCTTCTTCCTTTTCCTCCCTAAGATGTTTCTCCTTTTCCTTGTTGAGATCCTTTCCCGCCTTTCTCTTTTCCTTCCCAAGATCTTTTTCCCCGGTTGAGATCCTTTCCCCCTTTCCCCCTTAGGATCTTTTGCCCCTGTCCCTGTTAAGATCCTTTCCCCCTGAAACCTTTTCAAGATCTCCTTTTTCCTCCCTAAGATCCTTTGCCCCCTTTCCATGTTGAGATCCTTTCCCCTTTTCCCCCCTCAGGCCTTTCCCCCCTGAGATCTTAAGGCCTTTTCCCCCCCTGAGATCTTCTCCCTTTTCCTCCCTAAGATCCTCCCCCTTCTAGTTGACGCCCTAAGGCCTTTCCCCCCAGATCCCTTTCCCCCCGTTTCCGTGTTGAGATCCTTTCCTTCAAGGCCTTTCCCCCCCTGAGATCTTCTCCCTCTCGCTAAGATCTTTTCCTCTCTTTTTTGCTGAAGCCTTTGTCTTCCAAGATCTTTCCCTCCCCCCCCCGATCTTCTCCCCAGTTCCCTAACTTTTTTCCTCCTCCCTTTCCCCGAAGATCTTCATTTCCCTTCACTTTCCTTCACTTCGGTTCATGTCCCTTTAGTTCCCTTTCTTTCATTTCACTTCATGTCATTCATTTCCATGCATTTTCCTTCATTTCCAGATGTTCCTTCACCAGCATCCCCAGCATCACTTGCATCATCCCGATCCTTGGCAGGCGCTGATGCCCATGATGCAGGTGACGCTGCCGATGTTGCCCAGGAGGTGCTAAGGATGCAAAAGCGGACCGGGGGGAATCGAACACCCCAATGTTTTTGCGCAACTGTGTTACAGCCCCAAAAGAAAGGATTTAGTGGAACGTCTTGGAATCACCGCGTGGTACGTGGACCCCCCCCCCCCCGCGCAAGAGTCTGAAACCATGCCCCTGGGGAGGGGGAAGGGGAGGGGTAGCAGGTAAAGAGGTAAGGAGCATTTCTTATGTCCAACACGCCGCCTGTTGTCGGCGGAGAAGTAACATATGTATATATATATATATATACACACACACGTATGTCAACATTTGCGCGGCAAGAACGCAAGCGACTGTCCGTGATTGCGATTCCCCATTTGCGGGCAGCGCGGGGTAGACGCTAATAAGCGATTCAAAACTTGCGATTTGGCGACCACTGCTTTTTACATAGTAGTATTGTTGGCAGTTGTCCCTGGAGTTGCTCGCTGGCGATTGCCACTTGCGTGCCTGAAACGCTAGTGACTGCGATTGGCACAGAACCTTGAGTTTGCGATCGTGAGTTTGCTTCGCTAAAGAGATGTATATATTTATAGATATATAATTCCTAGACGCACGTATATACATATATATATATATATATCTATATATATATATATATATGATAGTGCTGGGTCACTAAGGCCGGCGATGACAACGTCATCAACCTTACCAGACGCGGATACTGCTTCTTCGCCGGGTCTGATGGGGGCAAGGAGGCGGCGCTTGCGCAGAGAGACTGAGCTGCCCAACTTTCAAGATTTACAAACTGCCCGACATTTCCACCAACAGGAGCAGCTCTTGAAGTGCTCGAGTTCAAGCTTTGCAAGACAGGGGTTGGCATCTTCCGCCATCCTGGTGCTTTTTCGGCATGCCCGCGGACCCGTGCACATGGGGTCTCCGATTCGTTTCTTGCGCCAGGCCTTGGAAAGGTTCGCCGTGCTGGCGTCGGACTTTGGCGCCGGGGAGCTTCGGAGCCACAAGAGCCTGGAGAAGTACCTCAGGCTGGTTGAGAGGTCCAGGGGCTGAGGGGCTGATGGCTTGTGACTAAAAAATTGAGAGCCAGGGTTACGCAAGACTTGGTCTTTGGTTCCATTTGCCAAGGTGCCGTTCTGGTGCAGTGTTGTGAGCCGCCGCCATAAACTCTGTGGGGACTCCGAGCTTCATGCAGCCCTGGCGAGCGAACCGAAGGAGCCCCGCCAGTGGCTTCCGCGACCCAGCGCTCGCTGGGATTGACCTGGTCTATGGCCGCTGGGCATTTTTTTGTTTGCTCGGCCGTCTCTCCTTTAACGGCGTGCCGTTGGTTTCCCTTTCAAACCACCAGAAAATGGTTCGCTCAAAAAAAAGTACACGCTCATTTCTCCATGAGGCAACTTTTTGGGGTCACTAGCTGGTTCGCTTGAACACCTGCTAGTGTATGCTTGCGTTTGCTGTTCTTGGCGTCCTGGTATCTAACGTGTTCCACCAGTGCCATGGTCGAAGCGCCCTTTGCTTGGGGCTTGTGGTAGTCTCCCAATGGCCCACAGAGGGAGTGTTGACAATGGCCCGCCTTGTGTAACGGCCGTAGCCTGAGGCTCTGACAACATCCAGCAGATCTTTCCCTTCGTGACGAAAGAGGCGCAGGTGATGCTGCATGCCCGCAAGTGCGGCTGGATGGACTCGCAGGCAGGACATTGATAGTTGCGAAGGATGGTCTGCTTCTGCACAGCCACACCCTCGCAGGTTGCCCGCATCTGGACATTTCGCGGGAATCCCCTTTTCCCCCTCTTCGGCCAACTCCCCCGCGCCCAGGGCCTAGGCCAGGCCATGCTGGCCGCGGCTTCGGAGTCCGCTTCCGCGACGCGGACGCTGCGGGGCCGGGTGGCGGCGGTGGAAAAACGCGGGGAGGACGTGGCCGCGGTGCGGGTGCTGCGGCGCCTCGGAGCTCCGCTGGGGGGCGTGTTGTCGTCGACCCCTTGTGGCTAAAGCTTTTTCTTTGGTTTGGAGGTCCCAAAATGGGGGTCGTTTGCCATGCCAGAGTTCAAAAATCTAAAACAATATGTCTCGAACCTGCTAGGGACCCCAGAAACTTGATTGAATTGGAAGGCGCCAGTCCGTCATTCAACAACATCATTTACCAGCACCCCTCGGAACTGCAGCTTTTGGCGGGTGTGTCATGTTTAGAGGAACCCCTTCCAAAATGGTGGTTGTTCTTTCGGTTTCCCTGTACAACCGCCGGAGAAAGGTATCCGGTATCCTAGTTGAACGGACAAACATCAGGCTCACTTCACCTCGCTCAAACCACCGCCAATTGCCGCAAAAACAAGACACCCGGCGACGTTTCCGTCGGATCGGACTCCGATGACATCCGACGACATAGGAACGACGGCGCGGAAGAGCTCCTGCCCTGCGACGCCTTTGTGAACTGCGGAGGCGCGTGGATGTCGAAGATTCAACGTCTGGTGACGGATGAGGCGCTGCCCCTCGAGAACGAGGTGCATGCCAAAGTGAGCCTTGGCTTCGAAGTGGGGTGTGTGGGGAGTGTGGGGTGTGTGCTGTGTGTGGGGTGAGTGGGGTGAGTTGCGAAGGCGCGAAGGCCAGTGGCGAAAGCATGGTGGCCGGGGGATTTGCGTGACAACAGCGCTGCTTGTGCAGAAGTCTTGCTGTTCTTGTTGACTTCAATCTCAGGATCCTCAATGATGTCAAGGCGCCCGGCAAGATGCTGAGCACTGCCAGTCAATGATATGCACAAGCCTCAATGAGCATGGGCAAGCTCTAGCGCCTCAGGCTGTCGCGCAAGCACCCAACCAAAACACATGCTTGGTCTTTCTGGTGCAGGGCGTGATACCCCAGTCATCCACACCGTTCATGGTGTGGCGAGATCAAATGATGCTGGACTGGGATGCGGAGACGCTTTGCAGCGCTTGGCAATCTTTTGGAGACGTGTTGCTCTACATTCTTTGTGCTTTTCCCGAGGAAAGTGGAAGTGGGAAAGTGGACGGTTGCTGAGACTTAGGACAAGAGAAGGTTTGGTGGAGCTTGATGACACTGCGGAAGGAGGGATTGCACCTCGGCAGCGGTGAAGTCATGGAAGGTGCTTTGAGTGAGCGGATGTCGCGTGGCTTTTTGAACATGTCCGGCTCTAGCCCGAAGACAGGGGCAAAACGGCGACCGAACCCAGTTGCACTTGCCTTTCTCAAAGTTCAGCATAGATGTGCACATTCTTCTTTAAACGCCGTCTTCTCTGAAATGCAACAAATATGTGCAGTGGGGCACCCAGGTGAACTCAAGTTCCTGGGTGGGCCCGCAGCCGGGTGGTCAGCATCTGCGGCCAGCGGGCAACGGCCGGGTGCTGATGCTCTGGGAGCATTTGCATCGGCACATGCCCGTGGAGGAGGCGGCAAACACGTCTGGTTGGGCTTGGCCGGTTCATAGGGTGGGGGGGCTTGGCTGAGGAACGGTTGGGGGTGGTGGTGGCTGAGGGCTGTCAAGTCGTTGGTTTCCATTTCAGCGCGTCATGGCAAGTTGATGATGTCGAAGCACGTCGACATGTTGGATTGCACAAGCCAGCCGAGAGAGTACATTGTGCAGTACACGCTGTGTGCAGTGCCGGAAGGATTGCCGAAATGGCTGACTCCGTACAGTAAGGTAAGAACCCACCGGCTGTTGCAGGGCCGGTCGTCATATCCTAAAGGGGAAGGGCACGCAAGGCATCTAAAAGCATACAACATACACGAAGCCGGGGTGAGTTCAACGGGAGTCTTTTCTTGCTTGGCGTGCCAGGATCCCGAGATGCCGTTGAGTTGTTTCCTGGACATGTACCCGGAGCTCTGCCTGGCTGGGCTGCAGAAGATGGTGCGGCTCAGCTGAAAGAAGAAGGTGTGCCAGCAACAGTTTTTTCAAGAAGGCCTCCTTCCTCTCTCTTCTTTCTTTCTTCTTTTTCTTGGTTTGTTTTTTTGAGGGTGCCAGACCTCTTTTTTTTTTTTCAGGTTGGTTAGGGAAAACAGCGACAGCGGAACTCCGATGTTGACAAGCCAGGCCAGGGCTTGGGAGTTACCACGGCGAGCTGGGCCGGGACACCCTGGTGGACGGAGGCAAGCGCTCGCGACTCGCGAGCGCGAATCGATTTGTTCCCCCACCGGCAAGGAGAAATTCGAAGCGCATTTTCCAGATGGTCCAGTGGCAGTTCATCAGAATGTCAACTCTCAAGCAGTAAGGCCGAAAGTCGAAGCGAATTGCCGACGCGCAAGCCAAACAAGGAAGAACACAGCCAAGAGCAAAGCAAATCGTAGGACCAAGCCGTCTTCTTTGGAGCATTGCGGAACATCAAAGTCCACGCTAAGTAGAAAGGTGAGTCAAAGGCTAAGGTGAAACGTTGAAGAATCAGCAAACCCATCGGAAGAACATCAACGTCAAAATGTAGGCAAGCAAGGAAGTCAAATGCGGACAGTTGATCACGTTGACAAACAAATGCAAGTCAGTAGTAGCTCAAGACTTCCAAACGCTATCTGGCAGATCGAAGAAGAACTTGACATGTAGGGTGGACATGGGTTTGTGTGTCTTTTAAGGGCCCCTCCAGAATAAGTGGCTGCCCCTTGGATTCCCTTTAAACCAATCCAAAAACCGGGGTGCCGCAAAAAAGGGCTTTTCCACCAGCAAAAGCGTCAAAACCTTGTGAATGTGAAGCGTCATTGACTCGGACCAAGAGGTAGACATAGAGGGATAGATGGATAGGTCTATAGATAGATTGGTCTATTTTGGTGCATTTTGCCAAGGGATGTTAGGACTTGAGAACTTCTTTATTTAAACCCAACTAATGGGTTTTCCGTATTGAACCACTAAAGGTTAAACTTTTAGCAGGGAGCAGAAAGCAACCCAGATAGACAGTTAGATACTTAGGCAGAACGATAGATAGAAGCGAGACCGATGGATAGATGCACAAATTGGATGCGAGATAATATAGAAAGATGGATAGATAGACTAGATTAGATTAGATAGGTAAATGGATCGAGTAGATTCGATTAGATCAGATTAAGCTAGGTTAGGCAGACCGATTCGATTAGATTAGATTTCGTTAGATAGATCGAAGAGACAGAGGGATTGGATTAGGTTTGATTAGATTAGATCAAGCTAGATAATATTTGATAAGACCAGATTAGATTAGATAGAGACACAGATAGATGGCTAGATAGATAGCCAGATCAATCGATAGAAAGATAGACAGATGCAGATAGATGGGTAGTTACATAGATGCGCAAAGAGATGCAGGGATGATCAGGCAGGCAGATGGGTAGATAGAAAAGTCAATAGGTCAAGAGGCCTGCAAACGATAGGCGGGGACAAACACACACGCACACACAGAACAGCAGCTTTGGTTGGGCAATTGATTTGCATTCGGCTTCGTGGCTTTTATCAGCTTTAAGTTATTAATTCTTCAGAAGAAGGGGCCGGGGACAGTTGTGCCACGGAATGCTGCGGTCGCCCTGCAATTTGTTGATGGGAGCGTATGGTTTCGAGGAGACCGGCTTTGTGTTCGTTTGTAGGACTGTTTTACAATTGGGTGGTTTGGGGTGTTGGAGTAGGTTGGACGACTATGTTTCGATCCTCCGAGTATGGGAACTTTGCAAACATTGATGACTGGGGCCTTTGCATGAATACATAAGTCTGTGTCGGAAGCAACTCAACAAGTTCCATACTTGGCCTTCCATGACTCCATCCAGAGCTGTGCCTTTGGTTGCTGAATTGGCCTTTGATCCCTGACGCGCGCACGCGTCAGGCTACTACACCAATACGCCTGATCAACGTCCTCTCGTGGGCAGTCACGGTGCCCGGAATGCCTTCGTTTGTGGCGGAGCCCCGGCAGAACCTTTTCGTGCGAGAGGGGACACTTGAGTAAGCCAGGAAGCAGAAGGATCTTCCTGTTGGAGTCAAGGGAGAAATGGGAGCCAATCTGGATTGATAGCAAATCAGAATCTTGGCGTCTTCATGCCCCAATGTGGCATGGCGCCTGGTCTCTTTTTTCGGCAACAGCGCTGGGCAAGGTATGGGCACCTACGGGCTGATGGGTTCGCCCGCAGCAGGACTCATTGACGAGCGTAGAGCATCCAGCAGAGCGTACTGCGTCAGATCAAAGGCCCGTTGACATCAGCAGTGCATCTCTCAGTTTTCAGCCCTCTTCTGGCAAAGTCCCAGGAGCCTGCCATTTGTTTGCTCCCTTGAAAGATTACATGACAACTCCACTCCTTTTCGGCCATTCCTCCCCGTGTTGTTTCATTTGCACCTTCCCAGGAGAGCTGCTGGCCAAGCACGTGATGCAGGAGGAGCTGCCGAGCTATGCGCCGCTTGTCAGAGGGCTTGGGCCGCGGCTCGGGCTCTTCCGATTCGGCGGACGCAAGAGACGTGAGCCACCATCAAAGCACGGGTAGATGAAGATTAGTAAGGGCCAATCCCAACCATAAATAGCTGCAGCCGCCTTCTTATTTCTTTACATGGTTCTGGGTCGACCATTTTGGTACCAGGCTTTGATTGTGACTCACGTGACGTCATAGTGGGTACGGGGCGGCATTGAGGCGAACGGCGTTGCAACAAGGGTTGTCTGGGGAATGCGAGGGGTGCCTGCAGCTGGCCGCGCTTGGTGCCACCGCCGGAGATTGTGGTGGACCTGCCGCTGGGGTGGCAAGCAAAAACAATAAAGAGCTTCCAAGGTTTGTAGAGAGATTGGTGTCCGATCCTTTTTTTCTGTGGGATGGTTTGGAGAGGAAGCTCAAGCAGTTTCGTTTCTTCATGCTTGCATTTGACTTTTCTGACAAGCATGGTTGATTGCCAATCGATCTTTAAGTAACAATTTGGGCCTTTTTAAATGAGGCCTTTTCAGTGAAATGTTTCAATTCCTCAAGGCTGCATAAAATCCACAAGAAGCAGGTTGAGAGTATGACCAGAACCAATACTCAATTTTCTGGATCTGGGTTCATCATCAGGGCCTCATTCTTGTGGGAATAAATTGCGAAACCATGTGAACAAAGGATAGGAACAGGTTGGGAACACGTTGGGAAACTGTTGGGAAAAGGTTTGGGAAAAGCTGGGAAAAGGTTTGGAAAAAGTTGGTGAAAAAGGTTGGAAACAGTTGGGAAGGGGAGCTGCGCAGTGCCTGTTTTTTTTTTTTTGGGTGGGGGGAAGGGCAGCTGATTGTAGGGATCTTTCCAGGGTTGGAAAAGGACTATCTAGCTGTTCGTGGGGTGGTTTTTCTTTCGAAAGAGACCTTGTTCAAAACGGTATGACTCGTGCGCCTTGGAACCGAGGCTGGATGATTCCTGACTCTTGCTGAGACTGACCAAAACATTTGCATGGCAGTTGCTTCTGTCGAGGCTGGAGTTTGTCATTGACAGCGTGTCGCACCTTCCCTTTGGAAAGCAGGCTTCTTGTGAAGGTGATTCATTTGTTCAGAAACAGAGGTGTCAAAGCCATGCGCAGTGCTTCCGCCTGCCCAGCATGCGGCTCAATGGCCACACCGCCAAGTGATGCCAGCGCCTGTGACTTGAACTCCGGCCCTTAGCCCTGCTGGCCCCATGTTTCTTTGCTTCGTTTCCTCGTCGCCACGGCGTGAAAGGCAAACAGCCCCAACTGGCCACGTGCAAAGCCATCTCAGGTTCCACCTGTTTTTTAGTGCTCGGTCTAATTCGTGGTTCCATCCCTCAGGTTCAACATGTTTGTCAGTGTTTTTTTTTTTTTTTCTGGACCCACGAGACGTGATGCGGAAAAAGGCGGTTTTGGCCGGATCTGACTGAGGGAGATTGATCGATCCCACCCCGCCGGGCCCTCCGCTTGGCCGCTTGGCCATCTGGCCATGGCATGTCCCTCTGGACGCCGGCGCTGTGGGCCGCCCAGGCCGCCCTCGCGCGACAGCCCCTGCGGATCTTTGTGGCCAGCCCGGAGCTGTGGGAGGCGGGCGAGAGCTCGAAGTTTCTTTTTTTGGTGTGTTTTTTTGCAGCGGTGAGTGGTTTGGTGCTTGGTTTGGATGGTTTGTGCTTGGGCCATGTTCCATGAGATGAACTAACTTGACTTGGTTGAGAGAGGACAATTGACAATACTTGACTAAATGTGCTGTGATGTGTCTCATGTGGTGCCCTTGTTTCGCTTAGTAGGCCAGAATACGGCACGTGTTCACATATATAAACAAATATGTACGCCAAGACCGCCGCATGATCTGCCTTTGCTCATGAGCCAGCCTTTGAAAACAAGTTGAGCAGCATGAGGTGTGTTAGCGCAGACACAAACAATATGCTTCAATCTTAGTGTAGAATGATGATATTTGATCATTTGATCTGTTGAATCAAGCTTAGTGATTCAAGCAACAATAAAAGCAGATACACAAAGAACAATAGTTGTTAATTGGCGTTTATAGCGCTTGCAGCTTTTCCATCTTTTAACCAATTATTTGCAATTTCATTTTGTGATAAGAGGTTCGACATGGTTTTCTCAGAAAGTAAGTTGTGAGATGCGATAGACAGTCATTGTCTTGATTCTGCTTCAGGTTTTTCAACGTCTGTTCGTCGACTAGTACAATGTTGTTTCACGAGTTGCTTTTGAAAGCATATTCATAAGTTGAGTAGAACTTTTCATGTATGATATAGGACTGTGTTCCGGATATGTATACACGCTTTTGCTTGATGTCTCTCGCGGAAACCGGTAGACGAGTGGTTTGGTGCTAAACGCTTGTTAAAACACATATTGATCTTTCGCACACATGTGTATTGGCAGTCTTGGCCAACATTCGAGAGGGATGCGTTTTATCAGGGGTTGTTTCATGCTACACATTTCTGTGCATTACATTCACTCTGAAATCATACCATGCCCATAGCGAATTCGAACATGTGAGACCAAGCATAGGCATGAACACTATACACAAAGCGAAACCACAGAGAAACACAAAAACACAGTGAAAAAGCAAACTAACAAGGACAACGGATTATGCTGAACTACACACACAGACACACACACACACACACACACACACACACACACACACACACACACACACACACACACACACACACACACACACACACACACACACACACACACACACACACACACACACACACACACACACACACACACACACACACACACACACACACACACACACACACACACACACACACACACACACACACACACACACACACACACACACACACACACACACACACACACACACACACACACACACACACACACACACACACACACACACACACACACACACACACACACACACACACACACACACACACACACACACACACACACACACACACACACACACACACACACACACACACACACACACACACACACACACACACACACACACACACACACACACACACACACACACACACACACACACACACACACACACACACACACACACACACACACACACACACACACACACACACACACACACACACACACACACACACACACACACACACACACACACACACACACACACACACACACACACACACACACACACACACACACACACACACACACACACACACACACACACACACACACACACTGACACACACACCACACACACACACACACACACACACTGACACACACACACACACACACACTGACACACACACACACGACACACACACCCTGACACACACACCCTGACACACACACCCTGACACACACACCCTGACACACACACCCTGACACACACACCCTGACACACACACCCTGACACACACACACCCTGACACACACACCCTGACACACACACCCTGACACACACACCCTGACACACACACCCTGACACACACACCCTGACACACACACACCCTGACACACACACACCCTGACACACACACACCCTGACACACACACACACACACACCCTGACACACACACCCTGACACACACACCCTGACACACACACCCTGACACACACACCCTGACACACACACCCTGACACACACACACACCCTGACACACACACTTCAACTCCCAAGGGAGGGTGCTAATCCTTCGAGTACAACTGATGAGTCTCGAGTACAACTGATGAGGCTCGAGTACAACTGATAAGTCTCGAGTACGATGAGTTTCGGCTCGCAATGCACTTGGCTTCCCTGTAGCTACTTTAACAGGGAAACACAAAAGCAACGGCGGTTCAGGGAGGGGGCCAAAAGGACTTTCAGCAACATCACGACGCAGGTACAGGTGTCCACGTCTGGACACCCTTCCCACCTTTGGTAGCTTCATTGCGTGCAGTATGCCAAAGGTGCTGCACGCCCCTGCGGTTGAAATCAGAAGCAATTGTGGTGGCAGGGTATTCTGCCACGCCGCACACACACGCCCCTCAAAGAGGGGCGAAAACCACTTTTTCGGGGGGGGGGGGGGGAAACACGCGCCCCAAAACCGGGCGAAGACCCCAACAGAAAACAAACAGAGCAGGAAAACAAAGGAAACAGAAAGGCCCCACGTTGGGTCTCCGCGGGCAAAACCCAACCAAGAAACACGAAAAACAGGAAAACCCGAGTTTAGGGTCACCGCCGAGGGCAAAGAACCCCAAACTGCCTAGAAGCCCTCCTAAACCTGGTAGAAGAAGAGCACCGCGAAGTTGAAGAACGCCACGAACACGCCATCCCTAAACGGGCGAAGAGAAACTACAGGAAGTAGTTGGAAAAGAGGGAGGAGAAAAGAGGGAAAGAAAGAAAGAGAGAGCACGAGAAAGAGAGAACAGGAAGAGAAAAGGGGGGGGGGGGGGCGTATTTAGGGCGCCGCAGCCCGCCCGGGGGAAGGAGAAAGGAAAGAAAGGGAAAGAGAAGAAGAAGAAGGAGAGAAAAGAAGGCACAGGGAGTGAGATGCGTATTTAGGGCGCCGCAGCCCGCCCGGGGAGAGGAGGAAGGAGAAAAAAGAAAAGCAAAGAAAAGAAGCAGAAGATAAGGAGACAAAAGGAGAGAAGAAGGAAGAAGGAAGAGGAAGAGGGATGTAGTATGCGTTTTTAGGGCGACGCATCCCGCCCAGACAGGAACAGAGGATGAAGACCAAGGCTCGAGGAGGAAGACGTCGAATCCCACACGGGGCCAAGAGGACGGACACGAAATAGCAACGGAAGGGGAAGAAGACGTCAAGCCAAACTACGTGAGGAAGAAGAGGAGTAGGAACAGGTAGATGGACAAGAAGACGAAGACGAGGAAAAAGGTGAACAACGCGAGGACAACCAGGCCATCCCTAAGCGGGCGAAGAGAGGAGGAGGACGAACGCGCGGGTCACGAAAGGCAGCAAGAAGAGAACGGGAGGAAGGAGAAGCCATCCCTAGGCGGGCGAAGAACCAGAAGACGGTCACGCGGAAGACGAAGGCGAGGAGAAAGAAAGAAGGGTGAGACTTAGCTATGATCTGACGGCTGTCTTCCCTTTAGTGAAACCTCGTTCCCGCTTAAATCGTGAAATTCCGCTGAGCTGTGATAAGAACGTTGAGGTCAAATTTTCCGGCGAACCGGCCCGGGGTCACACGATGGGTACACCCGAGGTTCCCCCAAGCTGGGGTAGTCACACTTCAACTCCCAAGGGAGGGTGCTAATCCTTCGAGTACAACTGATGAGTCTCGAGTACAACTGATGAGTCTCGAGTACAACTGATAAGTCTCGAGTACGATGAGTTTCGGCTCGCAATGCACTTGGCTTCCCTGTAGCTACTTTAACAGGGAAACACAAAAGCAACGGCGGTTCAGGGAGGGGGCCAAAAGGACTTTCAGCAACATCACGACGCAGGTACAGGTGTCCACGTCTGGACACCCTTCCCACCTTTGGTAGCTTCATTGCGTGCAGTGTGCCAAAGGTGCTGCACGCCCCTGCGGTTGAAATCATAAGCAATTGTGGTGGCAGGGTATTCTGCCACTCCGCACACACACAGACGCACACACACACACACCCACACAGACGCGCGCACACAGACGCACACACACACACACAGACGCACACACACACACAGACGCGCGCACAGACGCACACACAGACGCACACACACACAGACGCACGCACGGACGCACACACACAGACGCGCGCACAGACGCACACACAGACGCACGCACAGACGCGCACGCCGACGCACACACACACAGGCGCGCACACAGACGCACACACACACAGACAGACAGGCAGACGCACCCACACACACACAGACGCACACACAGACGCACGCACAGACGCACACACACAGACGCACACGCACACACACTGACGCACACACACTGACGCACACACACACACGCACCACACACACACACAACACACACACACGCACACCAAAGCCAGCACACACACACACACACACACACGCGCGCACGCACACGCGCACCCACGCACACGCACACGCACACGCGCACGCACACGCACACGCACGCGCGCACGCGCACGCGCACGCACCCGCACGCGCGCAGGCGCACGCACACGCGCACGCGCACGCGCACGCGCATGGGAACGCGCACGCGCACGCGCGCGCGAAAACGCGCACGCCGAGCCGACGCCGCGCGCCGCACGCCGCACGCCGCACGCACGCCGCGCGCAGCGCGCCGCACGCTGCACGACGCAGGACGCACGCCGCACGCGTACGCGCACGGCGCCGGGCACGCCCGCGCGCACGCGCGCACACGCGCACGCGCACACGCGCGCAGGCGTGCAGGCGCACGCACCGGCGCACGCGGCGCGCGCGCACGCGCACACGCACACACGCACACACACACACACGCACATACACGCACATACACGCACACACGCACACACGCACACACACACACACCAGCACACATCCAACAACAACAACAACAACAACAACAACAACAACAACAACAACAACAACAACAACAACAACAACAACAACAACAACAACAACAACAACAACAACGTAACAACAACAACAACAACAACAACAACAACAACAACAACAACAACAACAACAACAACGTAACAACAACGTAACGACACGTAACAACAACGTAACAACAAAAACAACAACAACAACACACCACCACCACCAACAACAACAGCAGCACACAACAACACAACCAACAACCAACAACAACAACAACCAACAACCAACAACCAACAACCAACAACCAACAACCAACAACCAACAACCAACAACCAACAACCAACAACCAACAACCAACAACCAACAACCAACAACCAACAACCAACAACCAACAACCAACAACCAACACCAACCAACCAACAACCAACAACCAACAACCAACCAAACCAACCAACCAACCAACCACCAACCAACAACCACACCCACCAACCACCAACCACCAACCGCCAACCACCAACCACCAACCACCAAACCACAACCACAACCACAACCACAACACCAACACCAACACCAACACCAACAACAACACCAACAACAACAACACCAACACCAACACCAGCAACAGCAACAGCAAGAACAAGAACAAGAACAAGAACAAGAACAAGAACAAGAACAAGAAGAACAAGAAGAACAAGAAGAACAAGAAGAACAAGAAGAACAAGAAGAACAACAACAGCAGCAGCAGCAACAACAACACCAACAACACCAACAACACCAACAACACCAACGACGACCACGACCACGACCACGACCACGACCACGACCACGACGACCACGACCACGACCACGACCACGACCACGACCACGACCACGACAAGGACAAGGACAAGGACAAGGACAACGACAACCACAACCACAACCAAAACCACAACCACAACGACAACGTCAACCACAACCACAACCACAACAACAACAACAGCAGCAGCAGCAACAAGAACAACAACGCTCAACAATCGACCAGAAACAAACAAAATGACACTCTGTCTTCCTTTGGTTTCAGTCCTTGTTTTGTTTTGGTTCCTTGTTGGCTTTCTTTGTATACTTTGATTTTTGACTGCAAAGCCGAAGCACACCAGACGAAACTTGTTTGTTCTTCCACACTTGTCTTGCTGGAAACACAGCCACAAGGTGGTTTTTGGTTCTTGCAGGCAACAAGAGAGCCAACAGGAGCACAGGACCGGCACGAAGGTTTTGTTGGTCTTTTCAAGGTGTGCGTTTTCGGTGAAAAACTGTACGCTTCTGTTGTTTTCCTGGTGCTTTTTTGGGTTTTCCGGCGTTTTCATTGGTTTGCCCGGTGTTTGTCGATTTTCTCAGTCAATCGTTTCTGTTTTGCTTGGTACAGTAGTCTCTAGTGCACATTAAAGAAAAGCAGGCTTCAGAACTCAGAATCCGGTCAGGGTTTTGTGCATAAGACAACTACGACATGCTTACTGCCAATACACATGTACTATTGGAAAGGACTTTGAAAACCTGGAGCAATTGGGTCTGGAAACAACACATTGTTTGATTGATTGTGGATCACAGTTGGCCTGTGCTTGGCCAAAAAAGGTGGATGTGATAGAAAGCTGGACATATGCCTGTGGGTCAAAACCAATGGTACCATTTTGGGGTAGGTGCACCACTCATTTTAGAACCTATTTTAGTGGTTGGATTGGGATGTTCACGGGGGTACGATTTGGATTTAGACCCAGGGCCATATCGGCGAAGCAAATCTGCCAGGAGATCTGTGACAAGGACTGGGGCTACGCCTACCATTTGGAGCGCTGGTTCCACCGGCTGCTGCTCGAGCACCTGCCGGCGACCCTGACTAACGAGGCCGAGAGCGCGGACTTCGTCTATGTGCCCCACTGCGCCATGAACGTTTACCTGGCGTGGAAGCAGGAGGGTGTCGCTGTTTTTGAGAGAGCACCCAAGGCAAGAGGGCTTGGCTTCCCTTTGGTTTCTCTTTCAACCAATCCCAAGAAGGGTACCCTCAAAAAAAGATAAATCCAGGAGTCAAGTCTCTCAGTTCCTGCAAGTGCTTGCTTGGCTGTGTGCCGAATCCCGTCCAGCACCAGGACTAAACCCACTAGAGCCTCACGGCCGCTGGAAGTTGCACCAAGCCCAAATGCCCCTTCGGCCCTGCTCAATTGAGCAAAGAGAAAGGTGGACCACACCAGGTTCTCGGCTCGTTTCTTTCTGCGCATCCCGTCTCAGAGTGGTGGACCTGGCTCGTATATCAAGGGAACACAGAACACTGCGACCTCGTTTCCCGTCCGAGTTTGAGCTTTGGGTGTGGGTCAAGATTAAACAACCAGGGGACGGCAGGTTTGAGTGCTTGGTTCCATTTGGCAGGGCAACCCATTTTGGTTACCTATTTTTGACCCACAGCCATTTCAGGAGGCGCTGTCCAGCTCCGACGACGCAACGCGCGCCGGCGCCGGGGCGGCCGGGGACGCGCTGCACGGCCCGGCGCGCCGGGCCGCGGAGCGGTACCTCGTGGGCGTGCTGCGCCGGGCCTTTGGCAGCCCTGCGGTGAGGAGCTGCCAGGAGCGGTTTTGGGGGTGGACGGGTCGACCGATGCGTTTCCCCAGTGGCCCAGTGGTGCCCTTGGTTCAGTTTTTGCTTTGAAAAATAATCCCCTTGAAAGTCAAGCAACCAAGAAAGGATGCCCGGATGCCCTTTTTTTTCGCATGGCCTGCTGGACATTTGGGCTTCTTCTTTTGGTTGAAAGGGACACCAAAACAAAGGTTAGCCGTTGGGGGTGCAACCCGATTCTTGACCATCCGCGGAGACAAGCTCTTTGACGCAATTGAATCTGCAAAAGTGAATGAGGGACCAACTATGGGGCGTGTGCGGATACGACCAGACCTATTACAAGTTGGGATTGCTTTGTAAAACAAGATGTTTGTTCAAAGAACACAACCAGAACGAGACAGGGTTTTAGAAAGTCATGGACACGGTCCGGTTCACACGCGGGGGCCATGCGAGAAATTGCCGCCCCCCCCCCCTCCCAGTTTTTCCATGGCTTTCCGGCCCAGTGCTTCTTCCTTTTTCCCCATCCCCTCCCTGACACCGGAAAACTTGGCACGGCTTTTCCTTTTCGCTTCGCCCGACTTCGTCCGAGTTCGTCCGCGTCCGCGTGGTGCGTCGATGAGGCGCGGTTCCCCGGGTGCAAGCTGCTCTTCGCGCTGATGGCCTTCTGCCGGGACGAGCTGCCGGCCTTCCACCGCGCGGCGCCTTCTGCGGTGGTGATCACCACCTGCGGGGTGAAGACGCGGGACGGGCTCTGGCGGGAGGGCTCTGGCGGCTCGGGATTGGGTGGGAGACTTGGTGCCATGGAGACTGGACGCGAGTCAGAAACTCGAAGCCCGCAAGAAACGGCGGCTTTTTGTGGTCGCGAAACAAAAAGCCTCTCAGTTTTCCATGGGGGTGTGGAAGGCTTGCAGAGAAAGCTGGGAAGCAAGGAGAACATGTGAGCCGTGGCCAGAGCAGCGGCCGCGCGAGCGGCGTCACAGGACCTCCGGCGCCAGGGCTGCGCTTGTCGGGAGCACTGCCTCAGGCAGGTGGCCGGTCCCTGGGACGTGGTGGTGCCTTGGAACATTGCGCACAACTCCAGCAGCACGCAGGCGGGATGGGATTCGTCGAAAAAGAGGTTGGCAGACGGGCAAGCCGCCCATGGCACTTGATGGGTCAGAGGAACGTGATCTTCCAGGTTCCCTCCAGGTGTCTGCTGGTTGTGGAAGGCAGGGTATGTTGCAGAATTCATTCTTCATCTTGTTTTTGGAGTGAGGTTTTAGTTCATCGGAAGGGTCGCATTTTCAACAGCACTGAGCTGGCAGAATATGGATAGACTGGGCGCATGGGTCTGGGCCCTTACGGGCACATGTGGCCATTTCAGGAGGTGTTTCTCTAGCTCAAAGGCCTAGATGGGTGTTTTGCTTGACGGTACCATGTGGGGTTGGTTAAAAGAGCAACCAAAAGAACCAGCAGCGTATTGGGAGGAGATGGGGGGGGGACGTATTTTAAGACACACCCATAGATGTCTAGCCACAATGGGCCTGTCTTTTACGGGCACAAACAACCGCCCATGGTTGAGGTACCCTTGAAGCCTTGGTTCCAACCAAACATGGGATACCTACAAAAAAAAACCCGCGCACGCATTCCATTTTGGGGGTTCCAAGCAAAAAGGAAGCCGTCGCCCCGTTGCTCCAGGCGCGTTTTGCCGGCGGAACCCCAAAACGCCGGCTGCTGGCTTT